AGGATCTCTATTTGGATCTTTTCGCGTTAGGAGAGAACAAAACCATCTTCTGGCTAAAGCTTCACAAAAACTCCCAATCTCAATGTTGTTGGGAACCAGCTGGCAAAAGCTTTCGCGAATTCTGTACTGGCTCCTTATGGGCATGAAACACAATTTGTACTGGCTCATGAACATGAGATAGAGCAGAAGAACGCATAATGGGATGCGCCAATAGAATGTACAAGGTACACAGAGCCTGACATAATTTTGTTTGTTTGCTCCCTTTCCGCAAGAAATGCTTCCGAACATAAAGGAGAGAATTTTAGAGACACGAGCGAACTGCTGGCGCCGAGAAGCCATTCCCATTGTTTTCTTCTGCGTATGCAGTAACTGAGGTTCCATTTCCCAGTGTTTCGTTCACGGGAGCGTGTTGGATTGTGCTAATGGCGTGACGTAGGCCAGGGAAAATGAGAATGCAAGAACAGAGTTTCATTATCAGATCACACACCCCTGCTTAAAACAGAGGTGGCTGCATCTCTGGAATTTTTCCCGTCAGAGATACCAACTTGCTCTTGTAAATTAAAGGTTCAGTTTGGCAAAGAGGCCCTCTACATTATGATTGAACAGAGAGATAAGACACCACCTAACTCCTGTTTACGACACAGTCCTTCCAGTAATTCCCAGGATGTTCCACACCCATTTGCACTATTCAGGTGACTCTGAGGGCAGAGATAAACCTCCAAGTGGCCTCAAGGTCTCTCTGAAAGAATGCTAATGACCGGATGACTGCAAGGAAGATAAATCCTTCCATTCCCCCATCATCCAGTCAGAACTGAAGAAGCTTCTTGGATGAGAAGCGAAACGTCTTCAAGGAAAAACCAGAAAGTCCAGGTGCCTCTTGAAAAAGCACCTTTGGGACAACCGTGGCCGGATGGCTGAGAATCTCCATAGACATCTTGCAAAGAGCTGATCTTGTTCAGCAGTTTCAATTGTTCTTGAGACAAATCTTGCCCGGGCAGGCAATGCTAGCTTAAATGGAGTAATCTGACTATTTTTTTTCTTTTTCTTTTTTAAGGTAAGGGCATGTGGTCTGAGACCGTACAGCCATGAGCATTTCCCAAAACTATGATGCATGGTACCTAAAGACACCCCATCACTGTTACCAAATGGTAATTTATAATGTGACGAAAGAGCAAAGACATTATACACATGATTGAACAGTAATCATATCGACTGTATTTAATTTTAATTGAACGTAAATTTAAATACAATTAAAGAACAGGGCCCTACATTCTTGAAGCGCAGCGCCTAAGAAACTATTCAGAGACCAATCTTCTTCTCTGGAAACACTGAATATTTCAGACTAAACTGCAGCTGGAGATGCTTAATAGTAATGTACCAATAAAAATATTACTGGAGTGCTATTAAGAAAATTGCAAAAAATCCATAGGGTTCTTCAGCTTTAAACATAAAAGAATCTATCGGATAACACTAAAGTTTAAACTTCTTCCAATGCAGAAACACACAGATGGCCTGTGTTTTAATAAGTAATGAATATATGCATAAAATCAACGGCTAATGTAAGAGAACTAGTGCAGTGTTGTAGATCAGACAATTAGTTGCCACTTTTTAGGGCAGTGGTTAAGAACAACTGAAGTAAGATACGTGAAACATTCAAAAGCACTAAGTGTATACGCCAACAATTATGTTTATTCCTGTATTGTATTGCTTGAGGGAGAATGATGAACTAATTTCCTCCCTGTGTTCTCATTCTGAAACCAAAGTTCCTTCCCTTAGGAGCTGTCAGGGGCTAATCTAATAACTGCTGTTTTCATCATGTGTTTGACTGCAAAAGTCGGGAGGGAAAGAAAGCAGCACTGAATTTTATCGCCCAAGAAGCAACTTTTAACTTTGCTTGCAAACAACAGGCCATTAATATTTAAAACCCAACTTCTCAAAGCCATCAATATTTATTCAACCTAAGGCTTTAAATTTGGGGTCGAATTCAGTAGACGTCCCACTTATCTCTCTTCAGCTCCTCTGCCCCACATTTGCAAGTTGTACTTTTTACATCATCTACTTCTTCCCAGACCTGCTTTGCAGAAAACGGGCTTATGTCCTACAACGGTTGCTGTCCAAATCAAACATGGAAACGTGTCCTCAAAACCACTCAGAAATGTCCTTCTGACGAACAAACTGGACCGCTAGGAAAGGCAACAAGTTATGCTCTGTGGTCACCAGAGGAGGACCGGAGTCCTACAAAGTGACATCGGTTCTCCTAGATTAAGGGTTGTCCAACTTTGGCAACTTTAAGACTTGTGGACTTCAACTCCCAGAAATTCCCCAGCCAGGGGGAATTCTGGGAGTTGAAGCCAAGAAGCCATCAAGATGGAATTCTCATGGATTGTGGGTCTTCACAGCCCTATAGTGATTGGGCTGGGGAAGATCTCTCCTATTGGGACAAGCGCAATTCTGTGGTTAAGATGAGCACTTCTCTTCTCTGATACAGAACCTGATCTTGGTTAAAACTGAGGGAAACCTGGACTTGTTAGGAAGTATATTCTTAAAAGGGAAACAGGTTTTTCAGATTTTACTTTAGAAAAATGATCTATGGTTTATCTTTTTTAAAAAAATTTTTTTTAAAGAACAATTTTATTTACAAACTTAAAAATGTACAAATTCAAAAATACAGAAAAAATAATATGTGAATAACACACAATTCTTTACATTTGTTATCGAATTTGATAAGTCCTAAAAATCAGTATTGGTTAGTACTAGTCACATCTTCATTCATTATCACATCCTATTTAGTGCTTAGGATCTATGGTTTATCATGTCGTCCACCTAATATTCAGACCAAGAGTCTTGAATAAATTCATGGCTCTCCCCTCCTCCTTTTTTCCTTTTGCAATTCAGTCTGTTCAAGAGTGCTCATATTTCTGTCGTACCACCTAAATCTCTGTAGCCTAATCAAAAGCCTCCTTCCCACATAACATGAGCTGATCTAGCCCAGACAAATGCACATTTGGCTATTCAATAATTTTGAGTATTTTAGGAGCAATCATGACTCATACTTTTGATTTCTTGATGTTGAATTAGGTGTAGAACTGGATCAATGTTAGAGAGATCTCTCCAGGGTTTGGTTTCACACACACACACACACACACACCAGTTTTAATTTACTCGCTTGCTTAACTTTATTGTGGTCATTAACTGGCTTGAGAGAATTGGCATTCTAATATTCAAAATATCCAAAACTAATTTGACAATGTCAGGACAGTTTTAAAAAGTACATGTACAGAAAAAAGCAAAAACAAAATATTGGCTACAAGACATTACTGCATTAGAATATGTTAATAGGCTTGCTTAGGCTTCGCATATGTAACAAGAAAAAAAATTAACAAGCTGGATAATACCATATAACTTGAAACTGCAGCATAAAATACAAATACTATAGAAATGCCAACTGTCCAAGTATCTGGTGCTATATTTAAATACGGACAGTTCTGTTTTTTTTTTTTTTTAAATCCTTTTGCAATGTTTCTAGTATTTTATTTGTAATTTATTTTTTGAATTGTAAACCCACTAGAGTCATTGACTGAGATGGGTGGCTACTGAAATTGAATAAATATATTACGTATTAAATAAAACAATAACATTATACAAAAGGATTTAAGAATTATAAAGTTCTCTGACAGAGAAATGTCCTATAATTGCTGACATGGTTAATGCTGAGCCATGGCCATTTTTGGCTATCCATATCAGGCAGGTTCAATTGCTCTTAATTATTCTTGCCTGGTTCAGGTGCCACCACACAAAACCTGGCAAACCTGCGTTCTATTTCGGGATTGATGTCAGCAAGTAGAAATTACTTATACTTCAACTTTAATTTATTACAATCAAAGATCAGCCAATTAGGAGAACCTCTCGGGAAGATCTTTCCTTTTTGCACCCAAAGAGCAAATGTCTAGATTGAATAAAACAAACCAACCAACCCTGGGATATCTAAACTTTCCCCTTTTTGATTGTGCTGCTGGCCATAGGCCTGGGTTAGCCTATAAATGTCAAACCCCTGGAAATTCAGGTGAGCTCATTTTCCAGGGAACTGAATGCTCCAGAGATTCAGCTTTCATTAGGATTTATATTTCTTGCTGTCCTTCTATCAAGGGACAGGTTTTTCTTACCATCTGTGTGCTAAAAATGTTTTAATTTATTAAAAGCCCAGATGATTATAAAACCACCCAGACTGACACTGCTCCTGCTGAGATCCAGTCTGTTACCAGATTGGAGTAGTTAAACATGGTCTCTCTGTATATGAAATGCTTATTATAATCTCCTTAATTATATGGGTACCTGCAGCCAGCTGTTCCACAACACCGTATATGATTATGGCGCTAGCTCCCCACCCCCCCTCCACCCCTCCCCCCCCAAATATTAAAATATGCAAGCCTGGGAAAGTGCTGACTCTATTATTATTCATTAGCAGTAGGGGGGAAATATATGGCTGCATAAATAGATCCAATGAGTGCAATTAAGAAAGACCCAAGAAAGGTCACAATGCATTTATTTAAAGCTGCATTAATTCTGTGCTCCCTGACCCTTAACAAGAAGTCAACAACAATGATTCTTTCTTTCTTTCTTTCTTTCTTTCTTTCTTTCTTTCTTTCTTTC